AGCGCATCTTCACGTTTGGCAAGAAGAAGAAGGCGACTGGAGCCTCGAAAGAAGACGAAACATCGAAACCCGAATCCGACGCTCAGGTCACCACCGGTGCTATCATCAACCTTATGGCTGTCGACGCTTTCAAAGTCAGCGAGATCTGCGCTTATCTACACTTCCTGTGGGCCAACACCCCAGTCCAAGTTGTCGTGGCTGTCTTCTTGCTCTACCGCATCTTGGGTTACAGCTCGATTGCTGGTATTGGTATGATGGTTTTCTTGCTCCCGATCAACATGTATGTTGCGCGACAATTTTCCAAGATCCAGAAACTCATTCTCGCGGCCACCGATGCCCGCATCCACACGACCAACGAAGTCCTCACCAACATCCGGATTATCAAGTTCTTTGCTTGGGAGCAACGCTTCATTGGTCTGGTCAACGAAAAGCGGTACATTGAGCTCAAGCATCTGCGACGGAGATACATTCTGTGGGCGGTAGCAGCTACGATATGGTCGGGCTCGCCAGTCTTAATCACGTTCTTGTCCTTCCTCGTTTACACGAACGTTGAACATAAGGCGCTCATTCCATCTGTCGCCTTCACCGCCCTCTCGCTTTTCCAAATTCTGAGGATCCCGCTGGACCAGCTCGCAGATATGGTCGCCCACGTCCAAGAATCCAAAGTTTCAGTTGATCGTATCGAGGAGTATCTGTCCGAGCCTGAGACGGACAAGTACTCGCAACTTGTTACTCAGAAGAAGGACGAAGATGGCCAAGCCATTATTGGATTTGAGAACGGTACATTCAGCTGGGGAGGAACAGACATGGCAGACCAGGCCTCGGCAGATGCCTTCAAGCTGATGGACCTCAATCTGACTTTCCGTGTCGGCAAACTCAACGTTGTTGTTGGACCCACTGGTTCTGGAAAGACCTCATTACTCATGGGTCTACTTGGTGAAATGACAAAGCTCAAGGGTAGTGTCTACTTGCCTGGTGGCCTAAGCCGAGAGGACCTGACCCCTGATCCCGACACTGGACTCACTGACAGTATAGCTTACTGCGCTCAGCAAGCTTGGCTTGTCAACGGTACGGTCAAGGACAATATCGTGTTCGCAAGTCCTTTCGACCAGAAGCGCTACGACGAAGTTATCGAAGCCTGCTCTCTGAAGCGAGATCTGGAGATTCTGGATGCTGGCGACGAGACGATAGTGGGAGAGAAGGGTGTCACGCTCTCCGGAGGCCAGAAACAGCGTATCTCATTGGCCCGTGCGTTGTACAGCAAGGCTCGTCACGTCCTTCTTGACGATGTTCTGAGCGCTGTCGATGCCCACACTGCCAAATGGATCTTCCATTACGCACTTCACGGACGACTCATGGCTAACCGAACTTGCATCCTCGTCACACACAATGTCAGCCTCTGTTTGCCACACGCAGAGTTTGCTGTTGCACTTGAAAACGGCCGAGTGGTCGCACAAGGCACAGCAGACGAGGTCATCAACTCAGGAAAGCTTACCGAGGATCTTACTAAATCACGGCCTGCGTCAAGAGGAGCGTCCAAGCCTCCTTCCCAAGAGCCCTCGGATGCTGGTGAAGAGGTAAACGGCGATGCCAATCACGCCAACGGGTCTGCTAGTGGCACCGCAAATGGCAAGCCGGACGCTAAGAAGAAGAAGTCAGCCAGCAACAGTCAGGACGAGAAGAAGGCAGAGGGGGGCGTCAAGCTGAGCATCATCACCATGTATCTTCGAGCTATGGGCCCCTGGTACTACTGGCTTGGTGCTACCATTGCTTTTGTAGCTGCACAAATCTCTTCGGTATCTACCAACCTCTGGATCCGCACATGGGCGAACGCGTACGCAGAAAAGGGCTATGCTGTAGCGAGCAGCCATCACAAATCTCCCGTAACGCATGCTCCGACAATAAGTGGCATGGGAACATGCATGAACAGTGGTACCTGCAGCTGGAACATTCCCTTCTTTACACAACCGGAGCAGCAGTCATATGCCTACAACACCATGCAGACTACCTTCAGTGACCCGAACCCGGACGTCAATTCTGCATACTTCCTCAGCGTTTACGCCGTTCTTGGACTCATCTTCATGTTCATCACCTTCTTACGAGAAGGTTTCCTCTTTGGAGGGTCTCTCGCTGCATCCAAACGCATACACGAACGTCTCATTCAGAAGGTTACGCATGCCAAGTTCCGCTTTTTCGATCAGACACCACTCGGTCAGCTCATGAACAGGTTCTCCAAGGACATTGAGTCAGTCGATCAAGAGGTAGCGCCAGTCGCCATTGGTGTTGTCCATTGCTTTGCTTCCATCATCACGATCGTCATTCTTATTTCCATCATTACTCCTGGTTTCCTGATCGCGGCCTTCTTCATCTCCATCCTCTACTTCCTCATCGGTCGCTTCTACATCAATTCATCCCGCGACCTGAAGCGATTGGAATCCGTACATCGAAGCCCGCTGTATCAGCAGTTTGGTGAGACACTATCCGGCATGACGACTATCAGAGCCTACGGTGACGAACGCCGCTTCATCCGCGAGAACTTGGCGAAGATTAACACTCAACATCGTCCATTCATCTATCTCTGGGCGGCTAACAGGTGGCTTGCGTTCCGAGTAGACGTCGTCGGTGCCATGGTCGCCTTCTTCTCCGGAGCTTTCGTTGTGCTCAGCGTTGGACGCATTGATGCAGGTGCCGCGGGTCTCGCGCTTACCTATGCTGTTACCTTCACCGAGAACGTCTTGTGGTTCGTTCGTCTCTACTCTGCTAATGAACAGAACATGAACTCGGTCGAGCGTGTCAAGGAGTACCTCGATGTTGACCAGGAAGCCCCGTCTGTCATTTCAGAGAACCGTCCTCCATCCAACTGGCCGAGCAAGGGATCCGTAGAGTTCATCAACTACAGCACGCGATACAGGACTGACTTTGACCTTGTCCTGAAGGACTTGACCTTCAAGATCCTTCCAGGAGAGAAGGTCGGTGTCGTAGGCCGAACGGGTGCCGGCAAGAGTTCAATGGCACTTGCCTTGTTCCGGGCGCTGGAGGCTGAGAAGGGCAAAATCTTGATCGATGACATTGATGTTGGCACGATTGGCCTGCACGATCTGCGGGAGAACGTCGTCATGGTACCGCAAGGTAGGCACATCTTTATATCTTATTATGGTGGAACAGATGCTGACACTACACAGATCCGACACTATTCACAGGCACTATCCGAAGCAATCTCGACCCCTTCTCTATCTTTACTGATGAAGAGATCTACACCGCCCTCCGCGAAGTCAACCTGATCTCTACTCTATCACGCCCCGCGTCCGGCTCTGTCACTCCTACTGGAGCGACCACCCCACCTCGCGCCGTCCAGATTCCCGTTCCGACGACAAACGCTGTGACAGCGGATGTCAACGGCAGCTACTCAGCCGCTACCACAAATCCCGGGTCCATTCTGGCGAACCGCGACTGGGATCGTGGCGAGACACAGGAAGACACTGTCGTGGTCATGCCTGATGGTCGTACTGCGGACCGCGACGATGTAGCGGCACAGGCTGCTATGGAGGCCGACAACAAGAACCCATTCAAGAACCTCAACTCGCTGGTGTCGGAATCCGGGTCCAACCTGTCGCAAGGTCAACGACAACTTTTGTGCTTGGCGCGAGCGCTACTGAAAGCACCCAAGGTTCTGCTGATGGACGAAGCCACAGCGTCCATCGACTACGCCACCGATGCGAAGATCCAAGAAACCATTCGTCAGATCAAGAACACCACCATCACGATAGCGCATCGTCTCCAAACGATCATTGACTACGACAAGGTTCTTGTTCTGGACAAGGGCGAGGTCATCGAGTACGGCCATCCCTACGATCTTGTCCGAAAAGATGGCGGTTCATTCCGTTCCATGTGTGAAACCAGTGGCGAGCTAGAAACCTTGACCAGTACAGCAAAGACCGCGTATGAGTCAAAACCTACATCAACTGCCGGATAGAGAGCGCAGCTCCCGGCGTACGGTCGAAGGGTCTTGGGATGAGAGGGGAGAGTCAAATTTAGACGGAGTTGGAGAACAAAAAGCATGTGATCAAGACGGTTTTGCATGAGCGAGGCATTATTTCCTTCTGTTTCACTGTCGGCGTATACCAGACAGGGCCTATGGGTGGTTACCTGCTCTTAGTGTGCATATAATTATAATCGACACATTGACGTACCCACCTCATACAACAAAAAAGCTGAACAGGTCACGAGCCTACATTAACGCGAGACCACCAATCTTGTAGGTTTTTGTGTTAATGTAGGCTGCAGGCCTGTCTAGCTTTTTCTTAGTTAACGTGTACGACTAATTAGCCTAGAGCCTACATCAAGACAAAAATATGCAAAGCACGCGGTCTAAGGTCAATGTAGGCTCCAGGGTGTTCAGCTTTTCTATTGTATGAGGCGACTTAGGTAAGCGGCGCTCGTCAGCACGTCCATGTCAGCCATGTGAGATGAAAGTATCGGATCTTGGCGGATCTGACAAAACGCACCACCACGTCGACGACCACCGATCAGTAAACAGAAGCAAAAGGCTGAACGCGTGCTATCAAGCCAGTCCTGCTACTGCATTCCATCAACAATATTCTGATCGGTCAGCAAAAAGTGCAAATTACGCCGTTGGGCTTTGTGGCTTTCGCTGAAGTACCAATCACGTGGCTGTCTATCCGCCCGCTTTCGGGTCTTACTTGCCTTGTCCGGCGTCTTATCAGCGTTTCGTCATGCAACGCGATCTGGTGTATGAGTATTCGCTCGGTGGTGTGTAATGGCTTTTGCTTACTGTAGTGGTGATTTGTCGTTGGGGAGGATGCGGGAAGGGGTGGCTTTTCAGTGCGTTGGCTGGATGGGAGGAGGGGAGCAGAGCCGCTTGATGATTAGAATGGATGGTGAGGTGTTTAGGTATAAGAACGGTGTTATACCGGGAAAGCTTGGGCAGCTTTCTTGATAGTATCGAATTTTGTGAGATCTCGTTCGCGTACCTGGAAACCATGGACACCATCAAGGAGATCGTGCGCGACGCACCTTTTGGCCAACTCGTCCGTTACGCAACACGTAACCGCTTCTTCAAGTATCCAGAAGAGTTACCTGGGTTCAAAATCCCATCTGCGTATATCGAGAAGGATACCAGTGCGTCAGCTTCACAGAGCCAGGCTCACTCCGACAACTCCGCAGCTGCCATTAGACAGTCCATCTCAACCCCAGCTACTACAGATTCCCCTCAAGTCGACCTCGAAAAACCCCACTCAAGAACCGCAGAAGGAGTGAACGCATCCGACCGCAACTCAACCTCAACAGCACCCCTCCCGTCGCATGCCCTCCCTTTCAGCCCCTCACGCCTCGAAGCCGACCTAGCCCTTCACGCCACCCACTCACCCGCCCATGGCATCGCCCCCGTTAAAACAGCCGACGGCCTTATACTAGCCGAATGGTACACCACGACCGACACTGCGAACCCGCAGAATTGGTCGCAGGGCAAGAAGGCATGGACGGCTTTCTTGATCTGTCTCTATACGTTCATTGTGTATGCGGGTAGCTCGATCTATGTTAGTAGTACGCTGCTGGTTATGAGTGAGTTTGGGGTGGGGGCGTTTAAGGCGAGCTTGGGGTTGGCGCTTTATGTGCTAGGTATGTTGCTGATCTTCGTTGAGAGAGATGATGGATAGGATGGATAGCTGACGGTGTGTAGGATATGGCATTGGGCCGTTGTTGTTTGCGCCTTTGAGTGAGGGTATGTGATAGCCTCTTCTGTCCTTCTTCATCGGATGCTCGTCCCGTGAGAGGAAATTATCGCGGATGTAGGCCTTGCTGACAGCCCATCGCAGTACCACAACTCGGCAGAAACATACCATACATCACTACTTTCGCGCTCTTCACCATCCTCACTTTACCAACTGCACTGGTAGACAATCTCGGCGGCTTCCTGTTCCTTCGCTTCCTACTCGGCTTCTTCGGAAGCCCCTGTCTAGCGAACGGCGGAGCTACGATGCAGGATCTGTACTCTCTGCTCCATATACCGTACGGCCTAGCTTTCTGGACAGCAGCAGCTTTCGCTGGACCAGCTCTCGGGCCTCTTCTATCTGGATTTTCCGTCTATGCGGAGAACTGGCGATGGTACGTCTTTTCGCTTTGTTGATTCAGTCTTCCCCTTTGGTGGATGCTGACTGGTTGTTTGTGTTCAGGTCTCAATGGGAACTCCTCTGGATGGCCGCCCCGGTCTTCCTCCTCTTTTTCTTCTTCCTCCCGGAAACACAGCCTACGACCATCCTTCTCCACCGATCTGCCCGCCTACGTGCGCTAACCGGCAATCCGAATATTCATACCCAAACCGAGATCGATCGCAAAGGCACCAAGTTCTCTGCAACACTCCTCGACACTCTCATCAAGCCTTTGGAAATCTGCGTCAAAGACCCCGCTCTCTTCTTCATCAACGTCTACTCCGCGCTGACATACGGTATCTACTACTCTTTCTTCGAGGTCTTCAATATGGTTTATCTGGAGATATATGGGTTCAGCGTCGGCCAGATGGCGATTGTGTTTTTGTCCATCATCGTGGGGTGCGTTCTTGCTATGACGATTTACTTTTCCTATCTGAGGTTCTACCTCATACCGGATATCCTCAAGCAAGGACTGAGACCCCAAGAGCATAGACTCGTGCCGGCGATTTTCGCGAGTTTTGGGGTACCGATTGGGTTGTTCATCTTTGGTGAGTCTGACCACACAACGAGGACTGAGACTTCAGGCACTAACAGCGATTTTGCGTAGGCTGGACGGCTCGTGAATCTGTACATTGGATTGCTTCAGCTATCGGCATCGCCATATATGCGATCAGCGTGTATATTATCTTCCAAGCTGTCTTTTGTAAGTCATAGCTTATATCTATGGTGCTTACTGTTCACTTCGCTAATGTTTCTTCAGCATACGTGCCCATGTCCTACCCCCAGTATGCTGCGTCCCTCTTCGCAGGCAACGACTTTTGTCGCTCCGCCTTCGCTTTCGGGTCCGTACTCTTCTCCCGTCCTATGTATCTCAAATTGGGAATAGGAAAGGGGATTAGTCTTCTGGGCGGCTTGAGTGTCATGGGTATTGTAAGTTTGACGAGATCCAGCAAGTCTGTGACTTTGCGCTAACTCGAAACAGATTGGCATGTATCTGATCTGGGTTTATGGTGCGAGGCTGAGAGCGAGGTCGAAGTTCGCTGTTTGAGATGCGAGCGGCGACGATGACGATGGAGGTGGTGTCATGTGGAAGGCTGTGTGGCTGGCATCATCTTGCCTGCCTCCAGATGCGAGAGCTGCGTATTTGGTCTAGACGCAATTGGAAATAGACCCACCACGCCCGGACGACGGATGTGCGATGATAGTAGAGAATTCACATTTAAACTACTATAAAACAAACATACTCGAAGTGACTGTCGGAAATGACCATGACCGCTTACCTGTGAGAAGAAGAATGACGGTTCTAGGGGCACCCTAGAACCAAAGACAGAATACGGATATCGAGGAGAGCCCCGATACCCGCTGCCTTACCTGGTAGCGTCAAGGAGACCTGACGCTGCAGCATATTGCCTTACCTTCCCATATATGCTACATCGGAATGGTATCCGATGTGCACGGGGTGTATAGCAAGCATCGGGCAAAGCACCGAATACTGCTGTCTTCTGACCATGGAACTTCGATCAAACGACCGAAAGTTCCTCTCCGTGGCAATGCATTTCAGGGTCACGCCCTGATATCCTGGTCGTCCGTGATTTCCACACTCAGTCGTCTTCCAACGCCGCCCGCTGGTCTGCCTCGCTGAGCTTGATGCCATCGAGGCTACCGGAAGTGGCGGCAGGCGTGGGTGCGGCCTGAGAAGCGGCGGGAGCAGCGGGGGCAGGTGTCGGCGAAGAGGCTTCAGCAGCTGCTTCAGATGCAGTCTGCCACGCTTTTGCCTTCTTACGATCCTCTGCGGCCTTCTCCGCGGCAGGCACGTCATCCGTCTTGGCTTCGCTCACAAAGTCCCGGACATCATGAGACGAATTGTCCGGCCGAGTAGGAGCTTCAACACGACCACCACGACCACTAAGACGACCATGACCATCAAGACCACCACGACCACCACGACGACTACCACGTGAGGCGAAGCCACCGGAGCGCCGCTTTTGGTGACCAGTCTGGCCGCAGTACTCTAGGCACCATCCCCACAAGATGGCCAGCCACCCGTTGCAAAGCTTTGAGCTTTGTACGTGTCTGGGTCGAAGGCGTGGTCGGAAGGCCAGTAACTACCTGCCGAGCCTGCGGCGCTGCCTGATTACTGTTCTGATGGGGGAAGTTGCGTGGGCGGTTCCATTGGCCCTTGTGATGCTGCTGCGAGGGTGGGGGTAAGTGCGCGCCCGCAGTGGAGGCACTGTGTCCTGAATCTGAAGGACGCAAGGTCACTGTACTCCTCGAGTAGCGGCATGCTTGCCCAGCGGGTGAATGTGGAGCTGGTGCCTACCATGCCTACAAACAGAGTGGCCATCAGAAGCGTGAGTGGAGGGGGCTGGAGGGCCTTCAGAAGTTCCGCCCGAAGTCAGGGCGCGCTGGGCGCTTGGGCTAAGCGCAATTTGGACTGGCACAGACCACGGCTGGGCTCTGCGGCTTCCGAGGTCATGATTCCGGGGGAGGTGTTGCGCGTCTTCCACAATATCTACAAGCGTTTTCGAAGGCATCTAATTTATAACATCGTGGCTTTGTAAAACACAGTTTCGTCGAGTTCTCTTGACATTACCGCTGCTAATGTGGTGGCCATGATCCTAAACTATCGAGCAGGAAGCCCACACAGCGGAGGGTGCGAAGGGTACGTCTACGCGCATTATCAGCGCAGAGCGCGATTGTTACTGACGCGCGATATAGTGCCACGGTACGAGAAAACGACGATATGCGCTGCTACGACGCTTCAACCCCGCATCCTCCCCACACAAGCTTCCGCCGACGTTGCGCACAATTTCCGGTGAAGCCACATGCATATTCTCGAACTGAAGATTCTAGAAATAGGTGCATTGCATACATAATGGCGTATGGGCTGATGCGCTGGTCGTCAGGAGCTCCCCGTGTTAGCGAGACTGCCATTTGCCATGGCTGTGACCCCTACCGAGCGACAGGACATGGCAGGAGTACGCCTGCCGCCACTGATACCGCCAATGAGATTTATTGCACCTGCCCTGCCTTGCGATGACTTTCCGGTGAGTGCTGCTGCATGTCAGGCCTTATCGCACCACATCAACACATCTCCCGTCAGTTTTACACGGCGCTGTGCACTCTATGGCGCTCTCAATACCGGCTATGCTTTGACATTGTAGCGCTGAACGCTTTCTACTTACATTCCACATCAACTCCACGCTAGCCCTGGCCATGTCAAGCTTCGTGCCTTCCAACACAGCAGGTAAGTACTTACTGTTCAACAAGCGCACCTTTTTGCTTATGTAGTGTTAGAGCACCCATACGTATCTTATTGTAGAAAGTACCTCGAAGATGCACGTCAAGATCCCTTGTACAACGCACCGCATCTGAAAGAATTCCGTGATTACCTATCCGAATCTTCATCGCAATGGCACATCGGATCCTACACGAAGGACGCGCCCTTCCTCTGGTCCTACACGTGCCCAGAAACTGGTGATCTTCAGCTATCTCCGAAACACGATTTGGCAAGCTTCAAAAGGCCCAAAGGTGTTGCAAGGGTCTGTAGGGATCCGCAAGTGCTCTTTCTTAGCGGCTATCCCTCCCCTGACTGGCTCAACGTTATTGGTGATGAGTACAAGGTCGACATGCATTTTTTCCAGCAGCACTTTGGTTCAATCAGGCCATCGGTAAACATCGATGTATACGCCGAGCCTTCTTTACCCTCCAGATCGCGAGATATTCTAAAGCTGAGTATTCCGACCATTGGTTATCTTGGCGATGTGGGGAATTTGTTTGGAGACATATCTAGGACCAGATCGCTTCTTGTCGAGAGTCTCAGAGAACAAGGCCTGAAGAATGCACGATACCACCCCGTTGGACAGGCCATCATTCGGAGCGTGTATCTGCATGACTCGGAGCGCTTCACGTTGATGCAAGAGATATCCATGTGCTTGCTGCGCGAACAAGATGTGTGGACGGGTAATGCTTCTCATTCATTGTATGACCAGGACGCTGACAATCTGAAGTACTCGTCTGGACTGACGCTAGCGGGGAGGATAAAGATCCTGACCTTTCCTTTCCATTCAAGGAAGCGTCCCAAAGGCCCGATCTCGATCCCAAATTTTGCCCCACTGTTTTTGATCGGTTCAAAAAGCACGAGAAGAGAAAAGCCTCTCACAACACACCTTCCCAATCACGGTTCCATGCAACCCAGGTGTTCAATAGTCTCCACAAAGTGTACGGCAAGACCCTCGAATCAAAATCGACAAGGCTACAACCTTTCTATGCCGTTAGCGAGGTTTATTCATTTGCTGCCGCAGCCGAAAACCAATTTCTTAACATGATGGGAAAGATTCTCGAACAGCGCATAGAGGGCATCGTCAGAGAAGGCCTCCAGAAGCACCCCTCGACGTCAGATACTCTTACAGAACGTATGAACTTACAATACGATCGTACGATCCTTGACGGACATTCCGATCGTATTATCAACATCATCGCATTCCTCAACGCAGCTGACGATCCAGTCTGGTTCCGTCTTTCTGACAACGATGCTTCACAAGAAGTCAAAACAGCACGGATGAACCTTTTACGGGATTTTCAACATCTCAACACGCAGGTATCACAGCTGATTCAGCGCTGCGAGAGAGCAATGGATATGGTCGCACATAACGCATCATTGTTGGAAGCGAAAAGATCAAACCTGCAGTCCGAAGGTCTGGAAAAGCTGACGCGCTTGACGACATTCGTGACCCTACTCTACGTGCCGCTTTCGTTCGTTTGCGCCTTTTTTGGTATGAACTTCTCGACCTTCGGTCAAGGCGAAATGAGCCTATGGGTATGGGCTGCGGTCAGTGCTCCAATATTGTTGATCTCACTATTTTTTCTCAAGCGGAGGTTAAGTAAAGAATGAGGTAGAGGTTCCTCCGAAGATTGATTTGCCTTATTTGGTCCCAATCCGGTGTCATGTATCTTCGTGGATTCTGTTGTAGTCTCGGACTTGTAGAGATCATTTGTCGCATTCGTCTTCTCGTAGTAGTAATATCGTGTTCTGAAAATATGCGGCTCAAGAGCCTCTGCTTATGACGAATCATTCAGGCCATAGTATTAAAGTATCTATCTTCAATCCCAGCGGGTAAGAAGCAAGCTTATCGCGGCCTCAGAAACTTCGAGTTGCTCTTCTATGGTCATCAGAGAACGAACCACAGTCTGGAGAATACGATGAACGCTTAAATGGTGCCGATTGCGCTCGTTCGTTCTCTTACTAACTTCCTGTCCCAAGTTAGAGCCTTCCCCAATGAGCCCATGGTGTCTTCCAGATTGTAGGCCTCTCTCAGAAGCGTCTTTGGACCTCGGACCGTTGTCGGCTATCTTCCTGCTCCGGTCTTCGCAGCGTTGAATCAGCGAGTATTCCCACAGTTCGTTACGCGCTGCGAGATAACCCCGTTGGGTTTTTGGATAATCTTCCGCCTTGACCATTGCCGCGGCTCCCGTCAAAAGACCCTCCTGAATACAGTCGAGGTCCAAGAAGGACATGACTTTCAAAAGCATACGAGCCTCTGGACGCAGCTCCCAAATCATGTATTCGATGGTCGAAGTAGAACCATATTGCCTAGGACAATGAAA